TTACGTCTTTTCACCAGGCAGTGTCAGGTTTCTTATGTGTGAAGATAGCGTCAGCTGATAAAATTCAATAACAAGTGTGAATCGGGCGTAACTAGCCACTAACGACTTCCATTATACTCTATGAAAGCCATTAACTGTAAAGCCAGTAATTCCCAGTTGCTAATGGTAAGATTTTCCAGTTGGGAAACAGACAATACTCACTAAGGTTTAGCTTATAATGGTTGGTCCGTAAAACGTACCAGCAACGTTGGAAACAAACTCCAAATCCTAACAAGATGCTTCCTATGGTCAGTTATAAAATATTATTCTCAGTGTTTGATCTCTCCAGATCCATGCCGGTCATTTTAACATTTCTAATCTTTCTTTTTCAAGGTTTCAATCCCATCCACCAGAACATAGTGGGAATGACGCTTTTTGTGTGTGTATTAATTATGGCATTTAGTTTCATCATCTATCACATGAAGACTAGAGAAATCACAGCACATGGAGAGAGAGAGTGAAGAACACACACGATACCAGCTTGGCGTGATCATCAAAGACAATGTAACATCTACTGTGACCCCACTAGAACTATCCAGGCATTGTGTGGAATGTTCACCTAGAGTTGTCAAGGCATTATACATAATGTACCAAAGTGAGCTTAGTACCATCTGGATAGAACGTCCAGACTCTACTAATCAAATGAGTGGAGCGCTAAAGGTATAAACTTACCCTAAAATAGGGTTAAATCTCAGATGTATATCAGTACATATAAATAAAACACAATATAGTGTAAATGCACAGGTGATAATGTATTTTGGTGATAATTCAAGTAGTCAAACTCACATTGATCAGAGCCTCAAAGGGACAGGCTCAAATCACTTGCACAGTAGTGTCGTATGGAGACACTGCACCCTTTTGCTTGGAATGGATTTCCTCAAAGTAGAGAGAAAGGGAGACTTCAACAAAAATAAAAGACACAGTGGGTATGGTTGTGCTCACCTTTTCCTGAGCCAATGAGAACCTGGCTCTGGATGATAGACCTGGGTACCTCTAGAGGGGGGCACCTGCCCTTCTATAGCAGCAAGATGAAGTTACATAATGTACACATTAATGAGTCATGTCATTTAATAGAATGTCCATATAAATGCTTCTAGGCATTATATATGTGTATATAAACTTGTCTCCGCATTCTATAGAATGTCTGTATAATTATATTTGGGCATTATATAGAAAGTCCAGCTAAACCCGTCTGTAATAGAAGCTGCACACAAGAGCATAATGTATTGTAAAATGGGCATCATCGTTCATAAAGCAGATGGAGTAATGTGTGTTTGGGGTAGTTGAGCAGGCAGAGTGTTTAGGGTTACAGCCAGTGGTGTACATACCAGGGTCGCAGGGGTCGTGGTTGCGACCGGGCCCGGCCCACCAGGGGGCCCGGCCGCCCCTGCGACCCGGTATGTACCCACAGGGCCAGCCTCTTCCCCTGGGGGGCCCAGGAGCCGGCCACCTCAGGGCTCCCCGAGGCTGGCCCTGCTGTCACACACACACTCCTGGGCGGGTGGCCGGTCGGGCAGGCGGGCGCATGAGGGAGCACTCAGTGCTTCCTCTTCAGCTCCCTCGTGCACCGCACTGATACCGGAGCCGGAAGATGACGTCATCTTCCGCGCCGGTGTTCTATCACTCTGCTATACTCCGTCAGATTGCTATACCCCCGTCACTTCCAGAGAGGGGAATCAGCTGTCTCCTGTGCTGCACATGCGTGCTATCACTCCTGCTACTCCTCCACAGCAAGGTCCTGGAAGGTAAGTAAAACTAGTTTTACACTTTCATTATAGTTAGTGCATTCACTATGCATAGGACATGACACATTTAGGGTTAAGTGAGGGTACAAATTAGGGTTAGGTAAGTGCTTCTAACCTCTCTCACACTCTATTCTTACCCTAACCCTTGGGGTAAGGGTTATAATAAAGTGTGAGAAATCACTATTTAGTGATATTCCCCTAATGTGATATCACTAAATATGAACAGGTCCCTAATCCTAACCCTAATTTGAACCCTAACATTAACCCTAAATGTCCCATGTCCTAAGCGTAGTGAATGCACTAACTATAATGAAAGTGTAAAACTAGTTTTACTTACCTTCCAGGACCTTGCTGTGGAGGAGTAGCAGGAGTGCTAGCACGCATGTGCAGCACAGGAGACAGCTGATTCCCCTCCCTGGAAGTGACGGGGGTATAGCAATCTGACGGGGTATTGCAGAGTGATAGAACACCGGCATCCCTACGCGGTGCGCGAGGGAGCTGAAGAGGAAGCACTGAGTGCTCCCTCGCGCGCCCGCCTGCCCGACCGGCCACTCGCACAGGAGCCCAGGAGCCCAGCAGCACCACTGGACCCCAGGGAATCCCCCCAGCACTCCAAAAGGTAAGGAGGCTGGGGGGATTAAATTTAAAAACAAAAAAAAAACAAAAAAAAACGTGTTAGTGTTTGAGTGTGAGTGGTAGTGTTAGAGTGAGTGTTAGAGTGAGTGTTAATGTGAGTGTTAGTGTGTGTGTGAGTGTTAGTGTGTGTGTTACTGTGTGTGTCTTACTGAGTCTGTTTGATGTCTGTTAGTGAGTGTGTGTTTGTCAATGAGAGTGTATGTTTTGTAAGTGAGTGTGTGAGTGTGTATGTATGTCTGTCGCTGAGTGTGTCTCTGTCAGTAAATGTGTGTGTCTGTTAGCTAGTGTGTATGCGTCTGTAAGTAAGAGTGTGTGTGTCTTCAGCACTTACCTTTCTCCAGCGCCGGACTCCCTTGGCGCTGGGGATCCCTCAGCCTCTCAGCTCCGAATGAGACCGCGCACGCATTCAAACCGCACATAGGAAAGCATTACTCAATGCTTTCCTATGGACGTTCAGTGTGCTCCTCTAGCAGCTGTCAGTGAGACAGCCACTAGAGGCTGGATTAACCCTCAGTGAAACATAGCAGTTTCTCTGAAACTGCTATGTTTTCAGCTGCAGGGTTAAAACTAGAGGGACCAGACACCCAGACAACTTCATTGAGCTGATGTGATCTGGGTGTCTGTAGTGGTCCTTTAAAGGACCATTATAGTGCCAGGAAAACATACTCGTTTTCCTGGCACTATAGTGCCCTGAGGGTGCCCCCACCCTCAGGGACCCCCTCCTGCCCAGCTCTGGAAAGGGGAAAAGGGGTAAAACTTACCTTTTTCCAGCGCTGGGCGGAGAGCTCTCCTCCTCCGATCCTCCTCTTCTCCTCCCCGTCGGCTGTATGTGCACGCGCGGCAAGAGCTGCGCGCGCATTCAGCCGGTCACATAGGAAAACATTCATAATGCTTTCCTATGGACGCTGGCGTGCTCTCACTGTGAAAATCACAGTGAGAAGCACGCAAGCGCCTCTAGTGGCTGTCAATGAGACAGCCACTAGAGGATTAGGGGGAAGGCTTAACCCATTCACAAACATAGCAGTTTCTCTGAAACTGCTATGTTTATGAAAAAATGGGTTAACCCTAGCTGGACCTGGCACCCAGACCACTTCATTAAGTTGAAGTGGTCTGGGTGCCTAGAGTGGTCCTTTAAATGTGTGTGCATCTGCATGCACTGGCGTACATACCGCGGTCGCAGGGGTCGCAGCCCTGTAACCCCTGCGACCAGGTGCCCACCACCATGTGTTGCGGCATGGCCCGCACGCTGGGGGGGGGCCCACTGATCAATTTTCGCACCGGGGCCCCATGGGTCATGTGTACGCCACTGGTTACAGCTATATAAAATGTCTAGATTTAAACATCGCCTTTAACCTGTGAATGTATGGTGGAAACTAGACTCCCTAAAAAAAGTCTTAATAGAACGCTTCAAACACCATAACCACAACAGAGTACAATAATGGTTATGGTGCCAAGAGTACCCTGTATCCCTTTTTTGTAAGTAGCCAAACTGTTTTAGAATGGTTTGACAACTTACCTGAGGTCTATTGGGAACTGCACCCCACCTCACTGCAGCCTTACAAGAGCCAGAAATTCCTACGTAGGAATCCAGGGCTAACTCACAGGCTCAGAGCGTAGGCTGATAACTTTCAGCCAATGAGCCAAGTCCTGTTTAGCCAGGCTGAGCACAAAGTAAAATCTTTTAGCTAGAGAGGGGGCTGCATTGGAGGCTGTAATAAAAGGGTTCGAGTACTTATATTGTGGTGGATCAGTGCAGTTATGGCTGGTATTTGGGGGAATTCCAATAATAATAATAATAATTTTGTATCATAATTTAGATGTAAAAACTAAAATAACTAAATATGTTGACATTAACTGTTAGTTGGCATTAGCAAAGAATCTGCTGGTATTTGGGGGAATTCAAAATTACAAAATATACCAGCAGATTATAAATATATCTGTATATGGGTAAAGACTAAGAAACTAAAATACCAGACGCGATACGACATGGCCATTTCAAAATGGAACAGGCCACTCGTGTTGTTTGTGTGTTTCTTTGTTCATTGGTAGCACGTAACACTATTCTTTATGCGCATCTTAGTGCGTTATCTCTTCTGGTTATGTAGGCACATGCATTTCTATCGTGAGCTGAGGTAGTCTCCGGTTATTTGTAGTATTTATGTTGCTAGAGGTTCTTTACCCTTTTGGTATTTGCAAGCTCATTATCATAAGGAGTTTAGAATATTTGTAGAGAACACAACACATATATCAAAGATAGGATAACGAATATTGATAAAAAGGGGCACCATCAATCCTCTGAAGGATAAAGGGACAAAATATAACAAGCACAGGCTGTGACAAAATATAAGAAAATGGGGAAATTATGAAATAAGTCTAGAGGGACACAGTCCAAAATTTTCACAGTTCTGCCAGATGCTGTTGCTTCATGCCTTGCAGTTTCATGGACACATGTGAAGAGTTGAAAAGAAAAAAAAAACATTGGTGTAGTATGTTCTAAATATGGGTAGGACACACAACAGAAGTGTATAGATTTACACTCACATGTGAAGGAGCTTACAACCAGTATAAATAGCGTACAGTGAAACAATACCTGCTGATTGATTAGTAGTAGTTACAATCTCTTCATCAGCGAGGCAAGGGTATCTAAAAAAAAAACAAAAAAAACAATCCATAGTGCTCTCTGGTGCAGTGAGTAAATAAATAGGAACATATAAATGTTCATTTTAAGGAACATATAAAATATATAAAAACAGTTACTATATCCATATATATATATATATATATATATATATATATATATATATTTATTTAATTATTTTAATGACCATACTCCAATGCAAATGGATGCCAAATAGAATTTATTGCAAATAAAATAAACATAAATATAATAAAATTAAACACAACGCATTTCGCCTTATCTGAGGCTCTCTCAAGTTTAAGTGCTCTTAAAAACCCCACTTTGAAGGATCCAAGACTTACCATTCCCACCTGATAGTCCACCACAGCTCCCCGGGACAAGAGAAGTTGGAGGCAAGAACAGGGAGACCTCGGCAATAATAGGTACTGCTTCATACACCTACATTCCAGTGGTTAACAACATATGAACACTATCCTTGAATGTAAAAAAAATAAATTAAAAAGACTACACACACTCCACAAGAGACACTTGGCATTCTCTAAATTCCCCCAACTCAACCCTGTGGTGATACGTTTACAGTAGACTCACTTTTGAATACGTAACGCTACCAATTCAATCTGCTAAATAGCCCCAAGCCTTCCAAGCCTATTCTAACACTAAGTCAAACGTAGTGTCGATCCTTTATCCTTACCATCCAATAGAAAAATACTTAGGACTTATACTTGGAATATTGAACAATGAGCAGATCACACTGAGGAATATATTAGCACTCAATGAAAACTGGTACCTATTCCTATCTAAATTTTTCAAAAAAGACTCTTCGCAATAGACGATTAATAGTTTGTGGTGACCATACCTGGACCCCTCTATAGATACTCAGTCAGTCCTCCATAAGTCTCCATCTCAAGGTAGCCAAGTAAACAACCTCATGATGTGTATGATATTTGGAGATCCTGTTGTCCCACCTAGAGGAACTATATGCTTTTTCCACCAGTTCATCACAGCTATTTCCGAATTGATCTTTGTCTGGTGGACAGCAATGTCTCAGCAGACAATGCTCTGGTTAGCTTTACCCTCACACTATCCTCATCAAATATAGATAGAGGAGCTTGTAGAATGAACAATTCACTGCTGAATGATCCATGTCACTCATCAAGAAAACAAAAAACAATAGTGAAAAGGCACTCAAAAAGTGAAACTAAACAAAAATAGCTGCAAAAACTCAAAACGCTAAAAATAGCCATTTCTCCACACAGTAATATTAACAACAACTAACACATTATAGGGATGTGCTTGCACTCAAAAAGTGAAACAAAACATTTTTATGTCACTCACCAAATACGGGACTTCTCAGAACATAACCTCACCACACATACAGGACTCCATGTCACCCCATCTCATTAATAAACTCAACAAGAAGCTCTGTCCAAATATTCTGGCTGTTAGATTGAACAACAAGATACTTTTTAATACTTACACTATCCCTTGTAACTCTGTCATGCTGAAACAGGTATAGAATGAATTAACTCATTAAAAGTGATAGTATATCATATTTATAATGATTTAATCAAATTCCAGTTTCTTGTTAAATTTCAATGGCCTCTTTGAACATTTTGTTTTTCAGGTCAGAACTCATAAATAATATTAAAGCTATTTCAGCACCCTGGACAGAAACCAGCATTAAGTGCTGTGTCCTATATGGAGCATCACATCCTCACTGTGTCTTTTATCTCCCATAATAGATCAGTTACTGTGTATTCTATCTCCCCTATTATATTAGTTACTGTGTATTCTATCTCCCCTATTAGATTAGTTACTGTGTATTCTATCTCCCCCTATTAGATTAGTTACTGTTTATTCTATCTCCCTATTAGATCAGTTACTGTGTATTCTATCTCCCCTATTAGATCAGTTACTGTGTATTCTATCTCCCCTATTAGATTAGTTACTGTGTATTCTATCTCCCCCTATTAGATTAGTTACTGTGTATTCTATCTCCCCCTATTAGATTAGTTACTGTGTATTCTATCTCCCCCTATTAGATTAGTTACTGTGTATTCTATCTCCCTATTAGATTAGTTACTGTGTATTCTATCTCCATATTAGATTAGTTACGGTGTATTCTATCTCCCCTATTAGATTAGTTACTGTGTATTCTATCTCCCCTATTAGATTAGTTACTGTGTATTCTATCTCCCCTATTAGATTAGTTACTGTGTATTCTATCTCCCTATTAGATCAGTTACTGTGTATTCTATCTCCCCTATTAGATTAGTTACTGTGTATTCTATCTCCCCTATTAGATTAGTTACTGTGTATTCTATCTCCCCTATTAGATTAGTTACTGTGTATTCTATCTCCCCTTTTAGATTAGTTACTGTGTATTCTATCTCCCTATTAGATCAGTTACTGTGTATTCTATCTCCCCTATTAGATTAGTTACTGTGTATTCTATCTCCCCTATTAGATTAGTTACAGTGTATTCTATCTCCCCTATTAGATTAGTTACAGTGTATTCGATCTCCCCTATTAGATTAGTTACTGTGTATTCTATCTCCCCTATTAGATTAGTTACAGTGTATTCTATCTCCCCTATTAGATTAGTTACTGTGTATTCTATCTCCCTATTAGATTAGGTACTGTGTATTCTATCTCCCCTATTAGATTAGTTACTGTGTATTCTATCTCCCCTATTAGATTAGTTACGGTGTATTCTATCTCCCCCTATTAGATCAGTTACTGTGTATTCTATCTCCCCCTATTAGATTAGTTACGGTGTATTCTATCTCCCCCTATTAGATCAGTTACGGTGTATTCTATCTCCCTATTAGATTAGTTACTGTGTATTCTATCTCCCCTATTAGATTAGTTACTGTGTATTCTATCTCCCCTATTAGATTAGTTACTGTGTATTCTATCTCCCCTATTAGATTAGTTACTGTGTATTCTATCTCCCCTATTAGATTAGTTACTGTGTATTCTATCTCCCCTATTAGATTAGTTATTAATAAGGTATTTAGAGGGAGCTGGACAGGCAGGGTTTATAGCGGGGGATAGGTGTCCCTTAACTTATCCTTCCTGTAACTCTGTCAGTTCCTGAGAGATTATGGATCCTGGCACAGAGAGAGCAGGATCTCTGCCAGGTCTCACTGAGAATGAAAGAGGAAGGGAGGGGGTCACTTACACTGTGATAGCCTGCAGGGCCCCGGCTGGGGAGATCTCTGATCTCTGATCATCCAGGCCTCTGACTGCCTCAGGCCC